ATATTTTTAAATTTTATTACTTATTATATTTGAATGTATTAAAAATATAAAAAATAAAATTCAAAAATTTGTTACTGGAAACAATGGTAGTTATAATGTAACTTTGTAGTACCAAATTTTCCTTTCCTGTATAAAAATTTCCTTTTTCATCAACTTCGTTTTTTAGACCGATCAATATTGAAAAAAAGCGTCATTATAAATTATTAATAATATACTTATTTTTGGTTTAATCTACATATAAAAACATTTCTTTTATCAAAATACTACTTAGCACCCTACATGGCCTTCTTTTATTATATTTACAATTTGTTATCGTCAACTAATCGATAAAATATTTATCAATAACTGACAGTTTAAAGTCATGTGGAGTGCTGTGATACCTTTTATTGTACATATTCTGGATGTTATCCTTTTTCGTCTCGCAGACTTGAGCACTTCTTTTAAGTACGAACCTCCCCTTATAAGTCAGTTCAGGAATTGGAATAGTGGCATAGTTACATACGACAGCCTTTATAATAAACTTTATATAGGCCCGAATTATGACTAGAACTTCTCGACACTCATCATACTAAGTACATTGTTCTCCTTTTTGTTGTTTGGTTCTACGCGCGTTCGTGATACTCATCCAATACATTAAACAGGACACAAGTCACCCATGGTATGAAACGATACGTACATAATTATTACCGTCTGCTGTTTCTTTGGGTATTACATATTTGTTATTATAAACTTTTTTCTTTTTTGTATGATTTGATTGTTGTAATGTGTCCGTGGGATGGACACATACTTTATAGCTTATGTACCTATTGTATGGATTTTATTATTTTTTTCTGTTTAGAAGTTTGTGTCGTAGTCAGATTTTCGGCGGCCGCGATTACTGTAACTGCTTCCTGGGTGGTTCCCGTAATAGCCGTTGTAATAATAACCGTTCCATTCGGAACGCCAACTGTCGTAGATGTTCGGCATGCTGTTGTCATGAAGGGAACCAAGAGACTTCTAAAAATTCCCGAAAAAACAATATATAAGTTTTCGATAAAATATTTCAATAAAAAATTAAAATAATATCGTTTTTAAAATAAGGAATCGAAATTTAGAAACTATTTTTTAATAGAAAATACCACAAATGGCGCAGTAAACGCCATCTGTAGCACGATGCTACATTTTACAGCTACAGATGGCGTTTACTGCGCCATTTGTGGTATTTTCTAAAACGCGCTGTTAAGACAGCAGGTAAAAGTTGGTCTGTGTTCTGTCGGAGCTGCCTGCGACGCGCTGATGAGATCCAAAAAGATCGAAATCGCGATCCGCGTCTGGCAGTCTCGACAGAATACACACCACTTCGAATTATTTTATTTTTTAATATTTCATCTAGTATAGAAGACGTTATTTAAAACTTATAGAGAACATGTACCTACTCTAAAAATATGTTCCCGCTATTTCCAAAATTAATTAAATTAGTATTGAAAGTGAATTAAATGAAATCCGTTCAATAAATACATTTTTTGATTCGTAAATATCTACAAAACTTTTGGCCCTTGATTATTTTAAAAATACTTTTCATATGGTAACTATCGATTTACCTTTTTTGGTTTCGTTTCATATTGTCTGTCATTCCATACGTCCTCCATGTTGTAAAGGTCATCAGCTCCATAATTGTCGAATCCGCTCATATGATTTTTGTTCAGTTCGTTGAGCATATCTTGGGTTAATGGTGTTGGTTGCTTTTTGGAATTTCGATGCCTGTTTATTAACTATAAAAAAAATAAATTATCAAATAAATTATAAAAATATTTTAACATTCTTGTTGACTTACCACAGTGACTCCAAATATGATGACGAAAAGCAGTGACGCCAATCCAATGACTATGATTGCTATAGCCCATTGCGGTAGTAAAATGTCATCGTCAGCATATCCAACAGAAGGATAGATTTGTTTTGGTAGTACTAAAATTAAACGAAATTAATAAAGTAATAAAAAATGACGTAGATTCCTTCATTAATTTACCGATAAAATCAGTATATTTAGGATCAACTTCGAATTTTCCAAACGAAATATTGTCCTCTTCTACAGCATTTTCTTCCAAGTTTTGAGTCTTTGGAACTCTATGTCCACCATTGTTCTTTAGCAAGGTTTCATGGAATATTCTTTTGATTTCTAACGTATTAATTTCTTTGCCCAGGTCACTTAGTTCCACGAGATAGTCGACAAGAACAGATCCTTCACTAAAACCATCAATCCTAATCTTCTTGTACCATTTGTTCAGTTTGTCTGATTTACTGTAAATATCCTCCAACTGAAATAAAAGAAACTTTTAGCACTGAATTTAGTCCTTTGATAATGAATAACGAAATACAACCTGAAGTTGAACTTCATTAGCGAGTATTTGCCATTCTTTGGTGTTCCTATCCAGCAATTCTGGAACCCATTTTGCTCCACCCACCAATTTAATGGTACCTGCCAGGTCACATTCGTCTATGCAAATGCCAGGTGTTGTAGGTCTTGGAGTTGTAGTTGTTGTTGTAGTAGTGGTAGTAGTAGTGCTTGTAGTAGAAGAACTAGTCGAGCTTGAGCTTGAAGTGGCTGCCCTCGCGGCTTCCAATAACTTTTCAATAGATATTGGGGTCGTTGAAGGAGTTGGCCAGCCAGTGAATTCAGTTGTAGCTCTGGACATTAAAATAAACACGAACTATGACTTCCTGAAAGGCAACACGAAAACGGATATGATTTACCTGGAAGGCCATCCTTTAAGTATTGCTGGCGGTGTTGCTGCATCTAGATGGGCTACCGGTTTTGCAGAGGAAATTCTTGTGGTTTTTCTTGTTACTCCTCCAGGTCTGCTTGGGAAAACAACCTTAAATCCTCCAGCGGTGGTAGTTTTGGGTGTAGTAGATGTGATACTGGATTTACCATCATTTGCACTATTGGATGGTGTGGTACTGGAAACAGGTTTCTTCGTGAAGCGGTGTTTGTTATATCCTGGTGGCAAGAAGGCCAAAACGTCATCTTCTTTGGCGGTTTCCAAAAGATCAGTAACGGTTTTTGGTTTGTTCGTATTGGTTGTACTACTTTCTTTACCAGGAGGTTTATACCCTGGCGGTAATAATCCTGCCAAATCATCTTGTTTAGTGTTTATTGGAATTGTATCGACTGTTTTGGATTTTTCTGTGGATGATGGTAGTTTGAAACCTGGCGGTAGAAAAGCACTTATATCAACTGGTTTAGCTTTTGATAGAACTTTCTCAATTCCGTCAGATTTTGGCGTTGTTGTAGTAATAGCACTGGCAATGGTGGTGCTGGAAGTTGAGGAAGATTTCGGTGGTTTATATCCTTTTGGTAGAAATGCAGATAAATCGTCCAATTTGGCAGCTGCAATTATTGTGGAAACATCTGGTTTTGATTTCGTTGAGTTCTTTTCTGATGATTGTTTATAACCAGGAGGAAGCAATTTTGAAATGTCATCTTTCGCTACTTTTGATGAAACTATTGACGTGTTGTTCTTCGGAGGCGGTTTATAACCAGGCGGTAAAAATGCCGAAATATCTACTTCTTTAACTGTTTTTAATATATCAGAAGGGTTTATAGTTTCCTCGACACTGGTTGCGTTATCTGCAGACTTTTTCACTTCACTTTCTGGAGAAGGTTTGTTTTTGCTTAGCAGTTTCTCAAACAAGTGTTTAGTTTCAGGTTCGTCACTTTGAGGTTTATCTATGTCCGGTTTGAATGTAGTTGTAGTAATGGTTTTCTTTCCAGTTTGATACCTTGATGTTTTTCTAGGACGTTTAGTAGTCGTTGGTCTTGCCCTTGGAGAGAATTTACGTATAATAACGCTAGGGCTAGTTGGTTTTGGAGTGGTGGTGGTTGTAGTAGTTGTAGTCACCTCCATTATTTCATCACCAGTTTTCTCTAAAGTTCCTTCTGTGATTAGGGCAATATTATTTGCTCCATTGTTAAAGCCATTGATTAAGCCATTTGACAAGTCTGATTGTACTTGGTCTAATTTATCAATGAGACTTTCAGTAGATGTTTTTTGCTTTGTGGAAGTGTGATTTTTCTTTTCGTCTTCAGCTTCGAGTTTTTTATGATCTTCCCCTGAATTTGGATTTTCTGTGAAACTCTCATCCGAGATGTCCTTACCTTCGTTCAAGAGTTTAGTTCTCTCTTCTTGCTCTACAGTTGGGAATGGTAAATATCTGGCTCCGGAAACACTTCGACTTGTATGAACTGAAGCTACCACAATCCATTCTTCTGTTGCGTTTTCACCAGATCCAGTTGGTATTGGGGTCGTTTCTTCTTCGGAACGTTCTTCCAATGACCGAATTTCTTTTGGGTTGTATGATAGTGGTGTTTCATCGATTATGGTTTTGTTGATAACACTTTTGGTTGTTACGACAGAAACAACTGCGGCTCCTAGAAGAACTGGAGGAGTGTCGACGTCCGATGACTCTACTTCTTCATTTAAGCTGGATGCGGCTGTGCTTTTTGTCTCACTGGAAAGATTATTTGGATCTTCAGATAATTCTGTTTGTGAAATTTCGGACGTGTTATCAATTCCTGTGCTGTCTATGAACTCTTTAAAATTGTCATCTTTTACAAGAGACGATGGCTTCATGGTCAAAACTTCGTACGGCTTTTTGATTGTTTTGTTTTGTGTGCTAGCACCTTCATCGGTGGTGTTGCTATATTCTAAACCTTGTTGTTCATGATTAGTGTAATTTAGTTCTACATGCCCTTCAGTAAGTGTAGAGTTGCCTTCTTGTTCTTCAGATGAGAGATTATTGTAAGATTCTGAACTATTATTGTTATTATGGTTTTGAGCTGGTTCTTCTTCTTCTTCATCATCTTCATATTTTACAAGCGTTTCTTCATTATCGGCTGTTTTACTATTTTCGTTTTCTTCTTCGTTAAGTATTATGTCTTCACCTTCTTGCGCGATTCCTTCAGCATTACTATTTTCTGCTTTGATTTCGTTCGATGAGGATTTGTGTAGTTGTTTTTCAGTGGTAGTTGGTCGCACAAAAGTTCGTTTAAAAGTAGTTATTGGTACTTGAGTTGTGGTGGTCAATTGTCTAGGTTTCTCTGTATTCCTCTGTGCTTCGGGTTCCTCATCTATATAATCTTCATACTCAACATCTTCCGGCTCTGATGAATAGGATTCTCCACTTTCGTTGCCATTCCCATTTTGTTTACCATTGTCTGCATAATCCAAATTTTGATTAACTTCTTGATTTTCGTTGGCGATTTCATTCCTAATTTTGCCACTGTTGTTTGAAGGATTAGGCAATGCAGCGTTTTGTTGATGGTTAAATACGATGTTTTCAAAAATGGGTGGTTGTTTCCCATTGAACTCTTCCGGTAAATCGGCAGGACTTTGGATGGTAATTTCTCCCAGAAAGGTTTCGGTTTTAGACGGATCTGTATTTCTGGTTCTTTGGTAGAGATGGGAATAATTTGGATTTGGATTTCGCTTGTTGTTAATTGTAGTTTGGGCAGGGTTCAAAACATTTCTGCGACCAAGACTTTCGTCAAAGTCGTATGTCGAATCTTGCGAAAGGGCTCCGGGATTTTGACCATTCTGTTGACGATAATCGCCGAAGTATTGAGGTATGTTTTGACGAAGATTTCGAGGAACGTCTGAAGGTCGTAGATCGGTTTGGGGAAAAAATTGTCGTTGCAAATCAAATAATGGCTTTCCAAATTGAGGTTGGTTGAAATAGAGAGGTTGTTGGTAGGTTGGACCCAAACCAGTTTGCTGTCGGTACAAAAAATTTTGCCCTAAAACAAAATGAAAAAGAGAATTAAGTTAAGAAGGGTAAAACGGCCTGCATCATTATGTATTAATTTATTAAATATGTAAATTATTCTGTTTATATTTGTCTTACTTTCGAGAGGACTTTTTAAGAGTGAAATTAAACAAAAAACAAACTAATCAACTACAAATCGAGTACCAACATTGTTTGTACAGCATGAACCTTGGAACGAAGTGATAATTTTTAATTAAAGGGTACTTTTTTCGTTATTTTAGCCGAGCTTGTTAAAATTAATTGGTTGCGGCTTGTAATTGGGTTTATATTCTTGTTTAAAACATGTCCATCTCTTAATTGTAAACAACTTTATTAATTAAAAGTTTACAAAAGAACTTCTATGATTAAAAGTTTGTTTTAAACTCTTCGTGTTCGCCCTTAGTTAAAATACAAAAGAATAGTCGACGATTGTATGAGTTGTTTTGCAGTAACAGCGCATGGATATTGCTGATTAGTATTTTGGCAATTGCCAGCAAATAAAATAGCAATAAATACATGACAATACAAGTTAGAGACAGCTTTAAATAAAATGGAAACGGCACTTACAAATGAACATGAAATAAAAAGAAATAAAAACATTGGAGACGGAAAACTAGATGAAGTTGTTCATTTTCGATAACTAGGAAGTTAGATAATTCCAGATGAAACATGAGTAACAAAGAGTAACAAATTCGAAAAATATTAAAAGTGTATGATTGGAGCATGGCTCTGGACGGATGTGAAGCATGGACGGGGAGTGCAGCGAAAAAGAAATCGTTAGAAAATATTGAGATGTGATGGTGTAGTGGTGTATGGTGTTATAGGCGAATAATGAAAATATATAGTGAATGGAATAATGAAGTGGTTAGAAACGGGGAGGTATAGTAAAGAATAGGAGAACAAAGAGTGCTACGGAAGTCGATAAAAAGAAGGAGAAATAAGAAGTTAGAACACCTGAGACACGAAGGGCTAGTTAGACGTATTAGAAGCGGAAATAGATAGGGGAAACGAGGAGCAGGATAAGACCTGTATTAGATTACTGTTTGAAAAAAATTTGAGATATAGAATGTTCTAGTTCTACGGAAATGCGAAGATTGACTCAGGATAGGAGAAGGATTTGGTTGCATAACTTGTACAGATTTGAGATAGTCGATGATAATTGACATTGAAAAGTAATAAATACGTAAAGCTTTTACAATAACTTTTACTTAAACACACGTGAGAATCAATTTAAGTAAATAACTAATAAATAATAGAACTTTAATGGTGGTTTATTTATAGTATCTGATCATGTCAGTCAGTCAAGAACAATGGATATACGAGGGTGGATTGATAAGTTTCCGGCCTAACCAAGAGATGACGCCACTAGGCCTACCTTGAGGTGACATTCTATAGTACCATCCTTGGATAGCTTGTAGCTATAGTTTCAGCCCGATCTCCTNAGAACTGGAGGAGTGTCGACGTCCGATGACTCTACTTCTTCATTTAAGCTGGATGCGGCTGTGCTTTTTGTCTCACTGGAAAGATTATTTGGATCTTCAGATAATTCTGTTTGTGAAATTTCGGACGTGTTATCAATTCCTGTGCTGTCTATGAACTCTTTAAAATTGTCATCTTTTACAAGAGACGATGGCTTCATGGTCAAAACTTCGTACGGCTTTTTGATTGTTTTGTTTTGTGTGCCAGCACCTTCACCGGTGGTGTTGCTATATTCCAAACCTTGTTGTTCATGATTAGTGTAATTTAGTTCTACATGCCCTTCAGTAAGTGTAGAGTTGCCTTCTTGTTCTTCAGATGAGAGATTATTGTAAGATTCTGAACTATTATTGTTATTATGGTTTTGAGCTGGTTCTTCTTGTTCTTCTTCATCATCTTCATATTTTACAAGCGTTTCTTCATTATCGGCTGCTTTACTATTTTCGTTTTCTTCTTCGTTAAGTATTATGTCTTCACCTTCTTGCGCGATTCCTTCAGCATTACTATTTTCTGCTTTGATTTCGTTCGATGAGGATTTGTGTAGTTGTTTTTCAGTGGTACTTGGTCGCACAAAAGTACGTTTAAAAGTAGTTATTGGTACTTGAGTTGTGGTGGTCAATTGTCTAGGTTTCTCTGTATTCCTCTGTGCTTCGGGTTCCTCATCTATATAATCTTCATACTCAACATCTTCCGGCTCTGATGAATAGGATTCTCCACTTTCGTTACCATTCCCATTTTGTTTACCACTGTCTGCATAATCCAAATTTTGATTAACTTCTTGATTTTCGTTGGCGATTTCATTCCTAATTTTGCCACTGTTGTTTGAAGGATTAGGCAATGCAGCGTTTTGTTGATGGTTAAATACGATGTTTTCAAAAATGGGTGGTTGTTTCCCATTAAACTCTTCCGGTAAATCGGCAGGACTTTGGATGGTAATTCCTCCCAGAAAGGTTTTGGTTTTAGACGGATCTGTATTTCTGGTTCATTGATACAGATAGGAATAATTTGGATTTGGATTTCGCTTGTCGTTAGTTGTAGTTTGGGCAGGGTTCAAGACATTTCTGTGACCAAGATTTTCATCAAAGTCAAAATGAGATAGTCATTTAGAACTCAACTTATATTTGCTTTTGGTTCATATAACACGCTCATCAATGATACAAAACTTGCTCGTAGATGATTCATTTCGTTGATCCTTTACAGGTGTTAATGAAAACCGACTTTGGGTAGTTTAATTTGTGTTATGAAAGAAAAAATCAGTCGTTACGTAATGTATGTAGGCATTAGTTAAAGTGGACACGAGGTTTTCGACGTTATAAAAAATATAGTAACATGTTCGAATAATAGGGGGGTTATGTTTCTGAGCAGGTGAGCAGCCCACAAGGAACGGAAGGTTGAAGCAGAGGGTAAAATTACCCTTTTTTTTTAATTACTGTATGGGGGTAGTGTCCAGAAACTCCTAGGATTCTATATCTCGATCAGGAATGGATCTAGGAGGGGCTTTAGACTCGAATCAGAACAGCATCTGTTCACCTGCTAGCCGCGAAAGCTTTTATCAATAGGTAATGAAGATCCTTTTTAGGCGTTTACATTTGGTACCAATGGAAAGGCTGTTTTCATCTTTCAGAGATCAGGAGTAATAAAACAACATTAATTTAAGCGTTAAAGTTAGTTAAATTTTTGCTTTGAAATTACACGCATTACGAGCCTCTATTATTATTATTTTCCGATCTTCTCAATTTTCATCGGTTATCTTTGAGCAAGTGAAGACGGGCTGATGCTACAGAACCTCACTCACATTTTTTGGGGTACGATATTGAAATCAATTTATTGTTGTTAAAATATTTATAGAGCTAACAGTACTTCTTGCCCTGAAATATAATAGGGGATTACTAATAACTCTGCTTCTAATTTAATCTATTGTGTTAATCTGTATATAATTCCGCATGTATCAACGATTACCGATTTTTGTGGACTGATGCACTGTTACATACTTATTCACAACAAATTAATTATATGATTACTAGGAAATAAAAATTTTTGAGCACTCTACCTGAATGACGTAATTAAAAAAAAAGGGATAATTTTACCCTGTGTATTTACCCCCCATCCCTATTAGACTGCCGGCTTGCTCATTAGAAACGAGCATTCTCATTAATTTCAATCTGTTACCGTAAAATTTGTCTAGATTCCGGTTGACATAACGTTAAAATCTCGTGCCCAGCAATGCGACTGTAAAAATAATTGTAGTAATTTTCTTCAGTTTTTGAAAAGAAAACGTGAAGTAATACTTACAAGAGTTACTTGGAATTGATAAAATCTTTAGAAATGAATTCAACAAACCTTTAAATATTAAGCATGCTTTTGCTTTTATTTTGAGTATTCCGAGGAAATCTCAATTTTTGTATTTATTGCGAAAGCGCTTACATCGTAAATTCAATTCCTTAATAAATACCAAGTACGTTAAATATGCTATTAAAATTTCTAATTTGTTATTTATCTCAAAAGAAGTTAACTAAAGGTTGTACAAGGATGAAAGTAATTTTACTTTTAATTCTATTTTATGGAACAGATGCCCTTTAGAAAAGGATTTTCAACGGGAATAAANTGATTTCCCAAATCTGTTCAAAGTAGTGTCACTTTTGCTGTCCGTTCCGTCCACTTCAGCATTTACAGAAAGAGTATCCTCTGTTATGAACGCAAAGCGGCGGGACGACAGGAATAAAGCTTCATTAAAACTAACTAAAAATGAACTTTTAGTTTACTTAAATCTTTGTTTGCCATGTTTAGAGGCTATTAATGTATTTAAGGGCGACAGCAAACATAAGAATTCAAAGAACTGATGCTGTTCGGATTCGAGTTTCAAGGCCCTCGTGTGATTGGAATTGCAGCATCGGAAATAGAAGGACCTCTGAAAAAGCTCACTATTCTTGCTAGCAAAACGTTAGGAAGCAATTCCGAGACACGACGACCTTTACACTCAAATCAGAACAGTATCAGTTCACCTGCTAGCCGGGAAATCCTTTACCAATAAGTAATAAAGATCCTTTTTTCGGCGTTCATTTTTGGTGCCAGCAGAGAGGGTGTTTTCATCTTTTATGCCCGGTCAAAAAATTTAAAGGGATCAGGAGTAATAAAACAACATTAAGTTAAGTATTAAAGTTTACAAAATTTTTGGTTTGAAATTATATGGATTAGAACCTCTATTATTATTATTTTTCGATCTTCTCAATTTTCATCGGTTATCTTTGAGCAAGTGAAGACGGGCTGATGCTACAGAACCTCACTCACATCTTTTGGGGTACGATATTGAAATCAGTTTACATTGACATTGAAAAGTAATAAATACGTAAAGCTTTTACAATAACTTTTACTTAAACACACGTGAGAATCAATTTAAGTAAATAACTAATAAATAATAGAACATTAATGGTGGTTTATTTATAGTATCTGATCATGTCAGTCAGTCAAGAACAATGGATATATTAAATCAAGTAAGGTTTATCTTTACCAAGTAAT